ATTACTTAGCTTTTTTATAGATACTCAAGTATAGTTTGCCTTATCAGTTAAGGCTATTGCCTATACTAGAAAGCTGCATCAAGCTAGTTGGCAAACTATAACAAAATAATTTCAAATTAAAAGAATTTTTAATTATATTTAATTAGAAATTTTTCTCTTCTAATCTATTCTTCTTTTTAAAACAATAATCTAACTTTAATTCTATATTTATAACCAATTCTACTTCATCTTTCACTAAAGGATTATTGCCAAAATTCTTTTGATTATATTTGTGCTTCCTTTTTCTTTTTTTTAATTTAATCTGTTCTTTCTAATCAAAGACCCAGCTCTTAGAAGTCTTCTTATATCCTTTATTTTATACTTTTCTTTTTGCTTTATAGCTCTGTATTCTCTTTCTTCTTCTTAAAAGCTTGTTCTAAAAGTTTTTTTTAAAAGTGTTCTTCTGTAGATCTTCTCTTTTTTTTTAACTTCTTAAGTTCTTTTTTGGTTCTTTTATTTTTAAGTCTTGGTTAATCTACTTTGGTCTTCTTTTTTTTGTGTCCTGGATTTGAGTATTTTTTTTTTTTTTTCTAGAACTTGGTTTTCTTTTCAAGAACTTCTTTTGTATCTAGATAAAGACTTTTTAGTTTCTAAACAATTCTGTTAAGATTTTTTTTACTATCTCTAATAGCATATCTTTTTTTTTTCTTTTTCAATTTTTGACTCTCTATGATCTTCTTGCTAATATGTTTTGAATCAAATTTGTATCAATATTTTATTAGGACCTTGAACAATGAATCTATTCTACAAGCAGATTTTTTTTCTTTTTTTAACTTCTATTATTGATTTGTAGATTTTTAATACTTGCTTGATATATTATTTCTATTATATATTTTGTTAAAGTTGTTAATAAGATTTTTGACTTGATTCTTCTCTAATCTTGCTTAGAGTTTTTGCTTCTATAAAGTCTATAGTATCTTGCTTCTTGATTCTTTTTCTTTTTCTTCTTTGGATTTTTTCTTTTCTTTATACTAGTTTGCTGTGACAGCTTTGATGTCTTTAAATTGTCGTACCAATTAGTATAGGAAATCTGATATTCTCAATGTTCTCTAAGAATATCAATTTTCTAATTTTTTATTAATAAACATAAAAAAAAAATTGTCTGAGAATATTAAAATCAATTTAGATTTCCAACACTGGTACCAATGTCTTCAAGGTTGTTTTATTATGCTGTCTTTATCAAATCTTTCTTTGTTTTTGAAATTTCTACTCCAATCTAATTTTAGCTTCAATTTTATTATAGCAGCTTGTTTTTTCTTTACTAGACTTGTATCTTCTTTTTTCTTCTCTGATTTTTCTTCTTATCTTATACTAAATTGCTACAGTAGTTTTGACAAATTCTTTAAATTGTTGTAATATTGTCTTCAGGGCTATTTTATTATACTGTCTTTGTCTACTTTTTCTTTGTTCTTGGAGTCTTTTACTCCAATCTGGTTTTAATTTTGACTTTATTTTAGTAGCTTGTTTTTTCTTATTTATTAAACTCTTTTTTATCAATTATTACTGAATATTTCATATTATTCGGCAGGTACTATGTAAACACTAACAGAAAAAATTTCACATTATTGCCGCAGGTTAATTTTAAAATCATTTTAATATAAAACTTGCGACATAATATCAATTTTTTCCGTAAGTGTATACGTCATACCTGCCAATAAACTAGTTATCTGGCATGATGGTGACGAATACAGATTAACAAAATAATAACAACGCATGTGGCCTTTGGCTATGTGCTTTTGTTATCATCCTGCCAATAACTGTGTATTCGTCAGATCATGCCAGATAACAAGAAATAACTTGCTGTATTTCTATTGTTGTTAATTGTTGTTATTGTTTGTTGTATTTTTATTCTTTTTGTTTTTATTTGTCACATAGTTTTTGATGTGTTTTCTTTGTTTATTCTTCATTACATATTGTGATTCTTGTGTTATCAAAACAGATCTGCATTACAGAATCAAGGCTAATTTTCTAAAAATTCACAAAATACAAGAAAATATTGATAATTTTTTTTGTTTTCTTCTATTTCTTTGCCACTTTTGCTTTTTTTACTAAAATTTCTTAAGAGACTGAGTATTTTTTAAAATATTTTTCTTTTTTCTTAGAGCTTCTAGTTTGATTTCTTAGTAGTATTTGTATATTTTTTGTAGTTTTTAATTGATTTTTTTTTATTTTTATAAATTTGTGTTTTGATAATCAGTTAAAAATGTTGAATAATTTTATCAAAGTTAAATATTTAGTAAAATTAGATTTTTTTGTTTTATATAACAATTTTTTAATAATTATATAATAAGTATTGTTAATTTATTTTAATTATATAACTTGTATAGAGTTTAGATTTTGTAGCTTATTGGTTAAGCTTTTAAACTTCTACAAACAAAGTCAATAGTTTAAATTAAACTAAAGACAATTTAATAATTTGTTTTTGTAATCTTAGTGAGCAATAATTTAATACAAAGTTTGTAACAAGTTTAGGAAATTGCTATTTGATCATAATTTTTGCTATTTGTACTATTAATTTGACTAAAATTATACTCTAACTCTAACTAATTCTGGTCAAACTAATGTTCAAATAGCAAAAATCATGGTGTAAATAGTAGTACCCAAGTTTAAGTATAAGTATAAAGTTAGAATAAGAATTCTTATAAAAAGACCCAAATATAAAAAGTAGGTATTACATATAACTATAGTATTATAAAAACTAAAATAATAATAATTGTACAAATAAGCTCTAATAAACAAGGCAGCACCAACATATCTGTATTTTTAATTTAGACAGTACTAATATTTCTATATTTAATTTGTAGCTATTTATTTAGAAGAATAGTTAATAAACTATATGAATCAGTTTTTATCTAAACTTAAAATATGTTACTTGTTAAGAGAGTAGTTTTCTAACTAAAGCTAAAGTAGTAAAAACATGTATATAGTTTGTATTAAAAAATTGGTTTTATTAGAATCAGAAACATATCTAAAAATAGTAAAACAAATTGTTTATAAAAAGCTAGTATATAGAGGTAGGCTAAACTTTGCAATATATGAAAAGTTATCTTATAAACTAAAGTCATATCTAATTAGAAGTCTATAATAAAAAAAATCTAGAAATATGCTAATATTAATACAAGCACTAAACTAAAATCTATAGATATCATATTCTAAAAATAGAATAGTATTACTAAAGTTAATATAACTTCTTAAATATAACTAAAATTGTTCTGATCTATAATTTACCAATAGCTATAAAATTTATGTTTAAGGTAGTATAGTATCATTAAGATTAGTAAAACTCTCTGAAATAGCTGAAATTGTCCCAAGTAAAATATGAAACAAGTTCTATTTTATATGAATTAGAGAGTACAAATATAAGAAAAAGCAATATCAAATACAAATATAATATTTAGATCTAAAGATATGTTAGAAGTAGTGGTAGCAAAAACTGGCTTAAAATATAAATTAGTAAAATATTTAGACAAAAATATAAAGTTATCTAACAATAAAATTACTAAATTTATTATTTAGAAACTTAACTAAGCAGTAGTCTCTAGCTTAAGATATATACTATTTAAAAAGATTCTAAGCTTTAGTAAAAACCTAATAAGAAAAAAAATAACAGCATATCAAAAATAAAAACTCAAAGAAGTAAAAATTTGAACAGGACCTATTTTGGAGTTATAAAAGTACAAAAGTAAAAAATGTAGATTAGTTAAATATAAATAAAATTTAGATAATATATAAATAGAATATAGATAATCTGCTAATATAAAATAATATGATTATATAATATACACCAACTAAAGCTATGCAAACAAATAAAATTGGTTCTCATTACCTGGCCAGGTATCTTTTTTCCAAAAATTAAAATTATTTTTTATAGTATATATATGTAATTTTATTAAATGCATTTAATTAAATATTATAAAATACATTCGATTCAGAAACCACTTCCTGACTTAGATCACATGATCACCACCAATTTTCGAATAAGTAACAAATCGAAGAAATCCAAAATATAGAAATAATAAAGATTTAATATGGCCACTAAGCAATATAGAATTTCAAATATTCGTATTTATGTCTTCTATAATAGGATAGTATAAGTCATCATACATTGTTGCAATATACTTTAGATCAATTTATTTTCCTATTGGTGATTGTTACAAAAAGCCTACTAGAAGCCACTGGAAGCTTACTAAAGTAAAATTAATAGTGTCACTAAAACATTTACTACTAGAAGGCCAAAAATTCCTCACTAGAAAAAAAAAGTATATGAGTATTAAATTAAATTCTAAGAACATATTTATGGAAACTTTAACATGTACCTTTTTAAATTTTTCTATAACGCTTTTGCTCAATTTTTTTTTTAGTGTGAGTTATTATTTGATACAAAGATCAGATCATTTTTTTTTTATTTATTTTTTTTTTTAATTATGAACTATTTTCACAGCATAATTAAATAATATCATCGATTTAAGCATAAAATTGTAGGACCAACACATATAGCAATAGAATTCTGTTATTCATCATTTATTGTGTATTTCCAAAAAGATATTCTTATTCACACTGACATCTTTCTTGCTATCTTCTTTTTTTTTTTTCCTTTCTGAAATTTAACACCCTTTTCTTTCTTTTTTTAGTTTTAACTGAAATGTAGCATTTAGGACAATATAGTTGTTGACTGACAGGAGTAGGTGAAAAGATTTTTGTATTATCACACTAAAAACAAATATCTAGATAAAGATAAGACAAAAAGTAAAGAATCTCTATGGGTGTCGAGCAGGTAAGCTTGGCATTCACAAATACATACTTAAACAATATCTCTAAAGACAACTTATCATTATTCACATCTTGTTGTTCTATAGGCAATTCAACTTGTTGCTTCACATACGATTTATTTTGTTCCACAGTCAATTTATCTTGTTGTTTCATAAGCGATTTATCTTATTCTACAGGCGATTCATCATCATCTATACTATGGTATCATTGTTACTTTCAATATTTGTAACAATATTTACTGCTTGGTTATTGTCACTATTAGCAGTTGTAATGATATCTATTGTCTGGTTATCATTTAGAATTGGTGAGCTAATTTTTGTTAAATCTGAAATTCCATAGAACATTGTATCACACGTATAATCAATTGTTTCAATGAAGTTTTTAAGAAGATTTTTCTTTTCTGAATTTAAAGTGTTGTGAATAAAGTACCTGTAGTCAGTTGCATTTAATACACTTAATCAAAATATATATATTTGTAGCATATTGTACTTAGGGGCTAAAATCCATACCATTGGTACTAAGACCATTAATTGCTATGGAAGATGATGATGTAGATGCATTAACTTTTTGAAGTAAAGATGAGCAGTATTTTTCACTAATATCCTTATCATATATTTTACAAAATGGCATATAGTGATCTTTATTTACTTTAGAGATAGAATCTGTAAAGGTCATAGCTTTACAAATATAACAGGTTCACTATGTAGCTGTCTGCAACTCATGCAGCCAGTCTTAGCTGCTTGATATTTTCTAATTTCAAAAAAATAAATTCTTGACCAGCAACAATAGTTTATAAATTCAAGAATTCAGGGCTAGATATATATATGCACTTATGAGCTCACAACAATATTAAAATTTTTTTTACAAATTGAAACTAGTGTTGCAGAGAATTTCCTAATGATTACCGTAACTAGCTAAAGCTTGTATCATAACTAGTTATAGCAATCATTGGAACAATTCTACCATATTATTAATCGAAACTGACCTTATTTTCAATATGCTTTTTGAACATATTTTCTGGTACTAATGAATTATCCACTTCAAGTATTGACTTCTACAAATATTCAATCTCTTGCTTTGTTGCTGATTCAAATGTAAAAAATTTTTTCTCCCTTGAGCTTCAATTGTTCAAAAATATCTTGCATGATATTTTTAGTAGGTTGCAAACTTTTGATTATTTCTTCCTTAAGTTGAGGTGTTTTTTTAGCTTTATTACAAATTTCATCCATCATATTGCAACTTTTCATCAAACTTTCTAATTCTTTATTTAATTTATTTTTCATAAGTTTAACACACTGCAATTCAAGATTTAAAATAGATATGACATGTTCGACTAGATTTTCTATGAGTGTCACAGAGGTGTTCGAATAGTAACCAAAAAGTCAAGATCCAAAGCTAAGAAAATTGCAATTAATGCAAATTGTACATGAAGAAAATTTACTCTATGGTCTGGTCTACCATCAGTATAAATAAATAAATAAGGTTTGTTATCACCTTGGCTTTCCAAAATATTATGTAATTTTATAATGTGTCATATTGGACTTGACAGCTCGAATATATATTCTTTTAGCCTAACATAAACTTGACCAGTATAAAATAATTCTTCAATTGTTTTAGGTATGTTGCACAATATTGTAATACTTGAAATAATTCTATATTTCATAAAATTGTGAGCAAATGTGGTATTGTGATTGACAAGTACTCTCTTTCAATGATCTATGGCTACAACTGGGTAACCAGATTCACCAATTTTATAATGGTGTTTGTCATCTATAAAAATAAGATAGGCTTCATCTTGAAACATGATTGCCAATTCTTTTAGATATCTAAATAATGCAAATGCATAATGCAAATCAATGTGTTCACACCAAAGCTGACAGATCTGAATCATAAATTTAACAAGTAAAGTGCTGGTATATTGTAAACTATTTTTATTTGTTGGTGTAGTTGGCCAAAACTGCAAGTGAAGCCATTAATTTGATAGAATTGGTACTTGTAGATTAATCTTTGCTATCTCTTCTATTATCATATTACAAAAATCACGAACTGAAATGGCTTGTGCGAGATGAATAATTGGGTTGTATCTTCTTTCATCAATAGCAACCACAGCTTCTTGTGCAGTGCTTTCTAAAAATCTTTTACTAATAGCCCAAAATTTATTATATTTACTTGGTCGACCTTCATTAAGTTCTCTAAGGTCACTAATTATTTTAGGATCATTTCATTCAAAAGCCAATTTAACACATTCATCAATCTCTCTTTGATCTGTTATTTCTGTGGCTGAGACATCATTTGTTAATTCTTTATATATATGTTTCAATTTTGTCTTCAGTTGTTTGTTCAGAAAGAGTTTGCATATATCTATATATTCTTTATACATACAACATATATGATAAGTAGAAAAAAATTTTTTTATTTCTGTTCTGATTTTATAATATTGGTTAGAGGTTTCTTCTTCCATCGCTTCCTCATCTATGCACCAAATATGTGTTGCATTGCAAATATTTCTATAATAATAAGTATAGATTCCAATTTTAAATATGAATCTAACCTCCAAATTTGCCAAATACTGATGCTTTTATCTGTTTGAATTTAACACAATGTAAAACAGTTTTTAACTTCAATTTTTTTTTTATAGTATATAAATACTTATACTCATGATATTGAAGAGCAAAAATTATTAGCCAAAATTGGTTGCCAGTACTGCTTTTCTTGTAAAGCTGATAAAAGGCTCCTATATTTTAAAATATCTACTAATTTACATTTATCATTTGCTTTGAATATTTTTAGTTCACTATTATCATATTCATTGACTACAAGTTGATCAAGTTCTCAGTTTTGTGATATTGTTTTACGTTTGCAGATAAGATATTCTGCATATCTGAAGAGATCATCACCAAGTTTTACTACTGGTTCTCTAAGAAATGCTAAAAATAGTAACCTGGTTACCCACAAGTAAGTAACATATTTGATAAGACAATCACTATATTCATTAAGTTCTTCAATATTAAAACTAGATCAGACATATTTATAATATTGTGGGTTATGATATCCTATAAAATTCTCAAAAGCTTTTGATAAGCTATATTATTGAGTAAATATATCACTACCACATCTATCTATATATCACAATACATTGGTTAAGTCTTGAATAAATAGTTTGCCAATTGTTTTGGCTATATTTGGCCCTCTCTAACTACCATTTTTCTCTTTAATTCATATTACTATATCATTCCACATCTGTTCTTTTTTATTTTGCTTTGTGCTAGATTTTCATGTTGGAAGTGTAATAGAATTTTGAGTGTTGAACATGACATCAAAAGGGTTGATCTTTTGGTGAGTTGATAAGGTTATTTGTAATATCTGTATTTGAAAAGCAAAATGTTTTTTATAATCTATTGCAACCTCCCACAAATTATATGCAAGATCAATATTTTGATTAAATGTAGTTTTGGAATTTCCATATTGAACCTCAACTTTTTTAATTATTTTCAAATATTTATTTAACATATGTTCTTCTCACTGGTCGAAATTTTTTAATATAAAAGGCCGATATTTGGAAAATAGCTAGGTGAAACATCTAAAAACAAACATTCGAATATCGTATAGATGATATAAATATAAATAATATAATCAATGA